TCAGTTCCACAAGATCTGCTANTTGCGTTTAATGTAGAACGGCCTTTGAGTTCCACTTGTGTGGAAATACGGCTAAAACCAGCGGCTGAAACCGTCGGAAGAAATTACACTGGCATGGCCGCTCTTAGGGCGACGTCCCATTGAGCGGAAATCTATAGCGGAACGTAATGTGCGGAACCAGCTCGACCAATCGTAACCACAGAAAAAGCGAAGGAAAGAAAACGGAATGGCTATAATTGGTCGAGCTGGTTCCGCACATTTCGTTCCGCTATATATTTCCGCTCAATGGGACGTCGCCCTCACGCTTCTCTCTGTTACTACCTTTATTGTAGACTAGCCATTATGTAGATAGATCTTAAAGGTCGTTTTACATTGATCGCAAGCGCAAACGCAAGTGTTAAATCTCGTAGAATTGACCAATCACGCTGGTTAATTGGCTGATTTGATCAATGCGATTAGTCAATTCTACCAGACCTGTTTTTTGCGTTTGCGCTTGCAATCAATGTAGAACAGGCTTAATGCAATTGTTCGATTTGTCCACAGAATGTAGAACAGGCTTAAAAGCAGCCTTATCTATGAATTGTTCTGCATGCTGCATAATTCTTACTTCCATTTTCGACGCAATACGAGAAGCACGTGTGTATGGTATTCGGTTATCTTGGTTTTGTAATAAAAGATTTAAAATTTAGAAGTAGAAAACACTACTTTTGAGATAAGAGTGCATTAATATTGCTTCTATAGATAAATAGAACTATTATAGCCATGGAGAATGGTCAAGAAAAACCAAATGATAACTCAAATGGCGATATTGTTGACGAAGGTAAGAACATTGAGCCGACTACTAACAACTCAACTAAAGAAATCACGGAAGAGCCAACAGAAAACCTAGTAGAACAGTTGAAACAACCGTTAGAAGAAGCGTCAGAGGAGCTGTTGGAAAAGATCAGAGATCAAATAGAGGTATTTTATATTTTCATAAAAAATGTGATGTTTTCTGTGGTCTTTATAACTAAAAAAAAGGGGGAAAAGAGAGGGATAGAAGGGAAAGAGAGAAAGAGAATGTGACCTTTGTAAAAAGTTACAGTGGTACTAGGAAAATAATATTTTTATTTTGATTTTTTTATTTTTATAGTATTACTTTGGTGATCTCAATATGCAGAAAGATAAATTTCTTATTTCGCAATCAAAGTTGAATGATGGTTGGATTCCAATGACCGTTATGTTAAACTTCAAACAACTAGCTGCTCTCAGCAAAAATAGTGATGTAATTCTGAAAGCTCTGGAGTCAAGTGATTTAATAGAGATTTCAGAAGATAAGAAAAGTATTAGACGCTCACCAAAATATCCATTACCAGAATATGATGAAGAGTATAAAAAAGCTCAAGAAGCCAGAACAGTTTATGTCAAGGGATTTCCATTGACTGGTATGACTATGGATAAGTTGAAAGAATTTATTAAGCCATACAAACCATTTGAAGGAATTATTGTAAGTATATTTATCTAAGATAAATATTAAACATCATTACAAACATTATTTATTTGATTTTCTTGTTTCACAGATGAGAAAATACCTAGACAACAAAGATAAAGTTCTTAAGTTCAAGGGTTCTATTTATGTTCTGTTTAAAACAGTAGATGATGCAAAAGCTTTCATGGAGATAGAGTCTATAAAATATGAAGATACAGAGCTAATAAGAAAGTGGTCGTAAGTAACAATGTTGAATTAATAGCACAAATTTTTATACTCTTTATATTTTTTAATTACTTTAATTACTTATTATAATATAATTTTAATTTTTTTGCACAGTGCTGATTATTCTATAGAAAAAAAAGCTGAAAAGGGTGAACAAAGAAAAAAGAAAGATAAGTTGAAAAATAAAGTAACTGTAAGTATTGTTTAAGTTAAAGAAGTTTAGATGTTTTTTATGATTAAATATTAGTGTAAAAGAACAAATTCTATAATTAAAAAAGATTTGTTTTACAATTTTTTAAATAAAATATTTTTTATACACTGGTATCTGTATATTTGGCTCTAATTGGTCAGTATCTTCACAAAGAAAATTTATAATATTAAAGATATTTATAACATGCGTTTTTTCCAGCGAGATGAAGAAGAAACAGATCAAACATCTGAAGAAGCAAACAGCTACAAATTACCAAAAGGTTCAGTTATCTATTTTTCTGGTGTTCCTAATACATGTACAAGGGAAAATATTAAAGCGTGCTTAGACCAATATGATGCTGATATTGCTTACATTGATTTTCAAAGAGGACTTACAGAAGGATGGGTCCGTCTGCAGGGTGAAAATGCAGCCAAACCTTTAATAGAAAAGACAAATGGAGGCAAGGTTAGAAAGATAGTACACACACGTAGTAGTAGTGGTAGTAGTAAGCAGTAGTAGTAGTAGTAAGCAGATAAGATTGTATAGTCCCAGACCACATAGGCTATCAAAGAGGCTATAAATTTCCAATGTGTGAATATTATTACGGAGCGATGAGAAATGAATTTGGTACATCAGCTGGCTCCGCATCTTAGAAGCTGCGTTAAAACTTTCCACTGAAACTACTGAATATCAGCACTGTCGATACTGAACAGTGAAATGAACGCTTGTTTTGACACCTTGAAGCTATTTTGTTGTAGTTTTTTGCTCTTTCTTTATGGAAAGCAAGATTAAAAATTTGGTACTATTTACTTCACCGTCGTAGTAACGGCGCCGATGCTCATAAGCCACTCTTCCGTTTTTTTCTTTTTTTTTCATGATGGACTTTGAATTTCTAATGTGGCAAAATTCAAACCTGACACTGTGCTTAGGTTTACTATGCTAAGACTGATTCACCACTCTCTCGTCTCTTATACACGCATTCACAAAGTGTTTAGAAAATTCTATAAGAACATTACAAAAACATTTTCATTAACATTTTTAATTTTCATTTGTAGCTTTTGATTGGCGATACTGAAGTTACTTGTAAGATTCTGGATGGCGAAGAAGAAAATAAGTATCTTACTAAAGTGGCGGAAGAAATAGCAGCTTCTAAGAATAAATTTAAATCGAAACGGGGCGGTAAAAAAGGTAAGAAAATTGCTTAGAACTTTACAAATATTACAATTATTAATTAAAGACACATATTTTTATATATTTTAATTTCTTATATGTGTATATCTTACTTTCTTTTACGTTAAATAAGTAGATTTTTGATGAACTAACTGTACATATCTATTTATAATGATGTTTTTGCCATGCTAATACTGAGGAATCATATATACGAAACTCGTATATATGGATTTCAATGAGTTTAACTTTAAACGACTGAATATTAGCAAAATATTTACATAATTTCATTCTTTAAAGTAATACATACTAACAAGCATTCCTGTTAAAGGGCGTAAAGGACAAGGTGCAAAAAAGAGAAGCGGTAGTCCCATTAATACAGTTCCAGCTAAAAAAACCGGATAAGATCGATTCACTGTGGAAACTGTGAAGTTATTTGTCATCATGTTTTGTTTTTGTATTGATAACTTACACAAGAGAGAGAATGGAAGAGTTATTCTTGATTACAACTAATTCATTGCGTCAAAGACCAATATTTAGAGATATGAGTTGTATTTTATTTTTATTATTTCATATCGATTGATGTATTTTACATCATCTTGATGTATAATATTTACTACGTGCACTTTGTGGATAAAAATTTAGTAAACCAAGTTTAGTGAACTTGATAAAAGTTCGCACATATGAACGTGTCAAAATATAATTATATTTTGGAAAATATAATTTCGCTTACATTTGCTACCCTTGACTAATTATAGTTAACAATTACGCTGCTTTGGTCATATAATCTGTAATTGATATGATATGATTTTGATTTATTGTATGAAAGTTATGTAAGAATCACTCTGTTCAGAAGTTTACTTATAATTTGATATACCTATATAATTTCACTATATAAATTTGATACAATATAATTGATAAATGAAAATCACATATATTTTTACAAATTGGCATTTTATTTTGTTGTACAGTGAAATTTACAAATTGGTTTCTAACATGTATTTGGATTTCACTGCTATCTTATGTGTGTATCGATACTATCTTCACGCAAGTATCACAACGTGTTGTCAAAAATCATACTGTGTGTGTTTTTTCGCGGACAAAATTTGGAAAAATTAAATAAATTTGTGTGTGTGTGTGTGTGTGTGTGCGTGTGCGTGTGTGTGCGCGCGCGCGCGTGTGTGTGTGTGACGTATGTACGTATATTTAAGATTATCAATAACATACGATTTTACGTGACACCGAGTCCGTGTATATTACGCTACATAGTTGATTACAGTTTTATATTGAACGTATTAATACGAATTTATAATTTTTATGCGTCCGAAGAATCTCGTACATATTTGATTAAATAAATCTTATTAATTTAGACAGTCTTTTAATTTTTGACTGATCTTAAAACTGACTTATTCTAGCTGGAAAAGATTTCGAGATTTTTGTTCTGTGTAGAATAACACCTAAAATTGTTAGAAAATTCAGTCCTTATAAGCGTTTTACCTGTTATTATATCACGAGTGACTTTCAGGCTTATGATCTTATAATTTTAGGAAATATAAACAAGGTGTTCTTTGGCAATTTCTTCATATAAATCCAACAAAGATTTTTGTTTTTTATAATATTGTGCAGAGAATTCTTGTTTCGTTCGACGCTACTGTGATGATGTTTTGAAAACCGCGTCTCATTTTCTCTCGTGAATCGATTTAGCACACAACGACAAAGATAACTCTCAAAACTTAATATCCGTGTGAAGTCTGATGGTGCAATGTCATGAATATTAATTTGAGATTAAAGACTTTCTACAAAGACAAAATGTATCTCTGCAAATATGAGCACAATCTCTTAGGATACTTGGTCGTAGAAGAGAGAACTCTATACATAACAGTTTCAGCAGCTTTAACTTTAAGAGAAATTACTTTGTCTGTTTTGTTGTTATGTTTTTAAGCAGATATTCGATCTCAACTTTTGAAGTGGTCATCTTTGAATGACTATTTAATATTGTTCATAAACTTAGCTTCAGAAGAATATTCAGTCATTTTCTTCAACAAGCAGGCTCTTGTCAATGTGTTTATACATCTGGATTTTAACACAAACAATTCTTGAAATCAAACATTTTCGTCACAATCTACAAAGACAAAAGATGTAATTGTATATTTTTTTAATAACAAAAACAAAATACAAAGATATATATATATATATGTTTAAGTTCTCAATTCAATGTATTTAATCATGTTTGTTTCTTGATGTTGTACTTTAACAATATTTGTATAAATTCGTATACAGCGATTCATTGAGATGGAAAATATTTATGATCTGTCAAGGTGAGAGGAAGTCTCGAGATTCGCATTCGAAAAACGTAGAGGAAAAGTGTGTGTTTTACGAGCGCCTTTATTATATGACCAAGAGTTTTATCTCGCGGCAATACTTATTACTGTTCGATTATTCTCTATGAGAAGACTACTTAGAGAACACTTAGCGAATCTGAGTCCGCCCTCTGGGGAGTCAACTCACTATTCGTAGTTGATCCGATCTACAGTTTTATAGACGGTTGCCAAACGCGATTGTACGTTTCGCGCGACAAGTAACGCAATTGGAGAGAATCGCGCTTTCTGTCCGAATAAACTTTGAAACTCGCTGTTGAGCTGTCCTTGACAAGATCGGAATTACTCGCTTCGAAGAATGCAGTTCCGAATAGCTCGCAACAGCTAGTCTTACAAAAGCAGGAACAAGAGTGCACTTTCACTTACGGGCGAAGCTTTTGTACGCCGCTGTCGTCGTTTCACTCACGAATATCGGACGATGTTATTGCGTCCGATTCGTTTGATCCACGTTTCGAGTCGAGTGTCTCTTCCTTCCAATCGATGCTTCACAAAGCAGTAAACGAGACGATGGTATGCATTTGTGTAAGTGACGTCGGTATTCGGACTGTTGTCAAGTGTGCGATCTCTCAAATCAGAGTCGTCGGAAATGATCGCACATTGATCCGCATACGGTATTATTACGCGGATCTATGTAATTGCGTTTTAGCGGAAATAATTCTCGAGTCCATGTATCGTGTGAAATTTAATTACACGCGCTTTCCAATAATTTTTCGATAAGCGCCCTTCTTTATGACATCGAAGATATCGACACGTTTCCTTTACGTGCTGCAATGATACTTAAGGCCACCTATATATTTTCCGCGGTCTCTGAAAAAAGTCTCCGAAGTTATTCCAATGAATTAAATAACTAGGAAACGTTTACATGTATCGACATCTTTGTGAGTTATAACAAAACTTCCTTGAACACACACACAGGATATTTTTTGAGCACCTGGGACATACATTTAACACGGTTCTCGCATAATTATGATTCGTGTATACCTTGACACTCTCAATCACCATATTTTACTAGAAACAGCAGAGAATATCACGCTTTCTTAAAAGTAGCAACTACGTACATTGCACGTATCTAATATAGTAGTAACAATCACGTGCGATCTTACATTTTTACCGGTGGAAAAAATCCAGTCACAGTGTCACTTGAGTAGCAACATTCAGCCAGTAATAACAGTCCAGTAGTGCGAGCTCGTTTATGACCTGCCGTACCGCGAACCTGCGCCGTAAGTAGTAATGGTCGACATTAATAGCCGATTTCCGATAGTAAAACTACGATCAGACATGTAATCCCAATACTAACAGTTTGGAATATCCAAAGCTACAATTCGCACGCACAACGGACACCGTAAAAGACCCATTACGAATTTTTTCCGCTAATTATCTTTAAAGTTACACATTTGTGATAATCGCAATGAATAAACGAGAGAAAGTTCTTTCGATTGGTCGGCATTGTCTGACGCTCGAACAAAAAAAAATTATTCAGAATCTAGACTCCGCAGTAACCTTGTCTGCGTCCATAAAAGTCACCCGCTTTGTTCGCACGTTGCCCTCCGGGGGCAACCCCTAATGCTATACGGATATCTCTTGTATCTGCACACGTTTTTTGATGGTATTGGTGCTTCCGGCAGTGGTGCTGAGAGAACTGGTGGTTCTAGCGGGCGGTTTCGGCGGTATTGACTCTTTGTGAAGAGTACTGGTCCCATGACCGGATCTGGGCTCTTTCTTGTTTGACTGCTCGCCGTCTTGGCCGTCCTGAGACTGCGCGAACTGTTGTTCCTGAATGGAAGGACTTCTCGCAAGGGTTGTGTATGAAGGTGGTGGTTCCTGAGGTCGTGGACTGTCGGTAGTCTTCATGGACGTTCTCGTGGTCATCGGCAGGGATTCCTGTCCGTTTGGTCGGCATTCCATGGCAGCGCGTTTCTTGTCGCGATCTCGTTGATAATAAATTCCGGCGAAAATCAGCATATTTAGTACCAACAAAATGCAGCCGACGCCCACGGTAATTGCCAGCGCGGTAGTCGTGCTATAATAGTGACGAGATGCCAATCTCTGTAGCAGTTCGGCGTCGTCCTCGGAATCATCCAGGATCGGAGTGATGTCCTCGATGAGACTGTCATCGCCCGTGGACGTGGTACAGGCAGTGGTGGAGGAAGAGCTGGTCCGTGTTGTGCCTGTCAGCGGCAGTGGCGTGTACCATTCATCCCGAACTGGACCTGATAATAATAGAAATGAGAGAGATTCATTGACTAATATATATATATCAATCAAGAAAATTGAGAATCAAATTTTTCGCACGACAAAACATGATCGTACCTGCATAATAATGATCACCTCGTTCCCGAAAATGATGATGCCGCATGGAAACGTCATCGTCACCAGGACGATGAAGCTGTGGTATCAAGTTAAGCCATACCGCCATTTTGTGGCCACGATAGTGACTTTTCATCTTTGGTTTTAATGCTGAAATAAATATTTCTTATTAAACGTGTGTTTTTGTGCTAGTCATATATTCATTATAATAATTTATATATAAAGGATTTATATAATTACGATTAAGCGCGCTATAACATCGGTTGCATAATTATTCTCAGAAAATATGTTTGTTTTTAGTGTAAAGTATCTACGTTTCATATAATTAAACTTTTAAAAGAACTTTTAAAAGAAGCATTGAGATAGTACCGCGGACGGTACGTTGAACTGTACACACTAAAACTTTCGCTGAAACTTAATAGGAAATTTAAAAACAAGAAGCGATATTTTTTTTCTGCAAAAAACCACGCAAACAAAACATTGTAGAAATTAAATTGATCAAAAACACGAATCAAGAAAGAAAAAGAATTTGTTATCCCAAGCTTAACGTTTTACCTATTGTGAGATACTGCTGAGAACCAGTCTCATATTGTTCCCATGTGAGACCGCGGAATCGCGTCTTCTCCTTCGGTGTACCATAGTCAACCGACTCGATCTTGTGCGGCTCGTTCGGATTGCCGGTCTTGGCAAAATTGGTGAAGAACGTGAGGACAGCTTCCGCAACGCCCTGATCTTGTCGGGAATAATTTCGCGGGAAGAAAGCCCCTCCCGCCACAAGCGGCAGTCCGAAAATATACGGTACGTCTTCGCCACGAACGCTTCCCAGCCGCTGCAACGAGGTTTCCCACTCATGGGAATATCAACGATATTAATTGTAGTAGTCGCGTTTAATTCTTTACGTATGTTTCGACAAGTGCGAGTTATTTTAATTTACAATTGCGATTAAATTTGCATAGTTTATTGTTGTAAATGTGTTTTATTTATTAATTAAATAGTGATATATTAATTATTAGTCACACTGGTTGTTGCAAAGAGAGAGAGAGAGAGAGAGAGAGAATCCTATATATCATTAATTAATAAACTCGACGGTTAGGAATGCGCGTAAACAATGTTCCAAACGCATTTTCCGGTGTATTGTCCATGATGCACCAAAAGCAGCAAAATTCTCTATCATGTCTGGGCGGTGATTTTGTTTTGTTGTTTGGGTGATATTTCGCGTTAATCCCAACTTTGTATTGGCACGCGCGAAATTTGACAGAAAGAAAGAACGACACACGAGATGATCGCGAAACTTTTCGATATTAACAATTCAAATAAAATTTCTCGCATGTGCATTTTCTGTAATGTTCTTGATATTGTTTTCTCAACTTGAACAATTATTTTCGATATACAACGTATACGACGATCTGTCTAATAACTCGCGTATAATTTCTACACGCGTTTCCTTCCAAATACCGTAATAAAGATATCGCGCAATTTCTGCACTCTCTTGCCGTGAGATATCCGGAGATTTCGCGATACCTTTAAGTTTACCGCGTAGCGCAATTACGACCGATCTCTCTTTGCCCCCGCTAAATTGAAAACGTCAATCTGTTTTTCTCCGTCGCGGACTTAATGCACCGGTTGGTGCGCAGCGCGCCACCTTACAAATTGGCCGATATAACAATTTCTTTCTTGTCCCTCCCCGCCCTCCGATATTATTATGTCAGCCGTGACAAATCTCCGTCATTCCCGAGACAAAATGCGAACACGGCACGCCCAGGTTGCCCGAGGCGTTTTATTAAATCAGTGTCTTCATCGTGAAGTCATGACCAGCGGTTACCGGCGAGTATAGATCGAGCGCGAAGCTTCGGAGTGAGACGGATGAGATACGAGGACGTGTCAGGAAGGAGCTGAACGGGTTGCTTCCTTAACTGAGAGTGCCGGCGGACTCTACTACTAGGTGTCGAGGGCGAGCGTTAGTCTCTCTTTGGGGGACGTCAAGTTAATGGAGTTAACTCCGACTTAAGCAGCGTCTCTACCTCCTCCGCTTGCTCGCTCCTCCCCGGCTTTCGCCGTTAGAAGCGCGCAAGCGAGGTCATATCGTTTCACGATGGAGAAAAATTGACGCCCCGCGCTCGCCTCGAGTGTTTCCGTATCGACAAGGCTAAATTGCGCAGTCTCTTAGTCGAGTCTCTATATTTTTTATCCTCGCGAAGACACGTGCTGCGAGAAATAAAATTGCTCGTCCGTTCCGAAAACTTGTTTTTTTTTTTTTTTATTTCTTACGTATATCGCAACAGTTTGAACGGAATTTCTTTTATTTCGGATTAATATAAAAACAAACAAACAAATAACAATTCAGTTCTAACAAAGACAAGAAATTTATATTTTTCTTCTTAATCGTTAAATAGTTTATATCATTACTTAGACTAGAACTGCGTCGCGAAAAATTTACTACTTTTTGGAACAAAGAGCTGCTATTCTAAATTACTTAGTGCTCAAGAAGGTTCTAGTAAAAGTTTCGCAAACTTCGTTACTACGGTGATAATAAGCTGTCAGGGATCTTACCTGCAGATAGCCGTTCTCCTTGGTCTGATGATTGAAGTGATAAAAATATGTCTTGGCGCCGCGTCGAGCGTGGTAGAAAGCGATTCTCATGAGGGGCGCGACCGTGTGACCATCGCTCAACGCCTCCATGGTCGAGTCTCTTATTATGATGGGATGGAGCACCGGTTTGTCCCAGTCCGTGTACTCGTTTCGCACCGCCGAGAAGATCTCGTTCAAGTGATAGACGTAAGCGTTGCGAATGAAGGTGCGCAGAATGCGATTCCGATGATCCTCTTCAAAGCCGAACTGTATGTCGTTGGCGTTGAAATCGAGATTTGATTCGGTTGTCGAGACGCCCAGAATTAACGGCACCTTGATGAAAGCGTCGCTCGCACGCTCCATGTCCAAACCCGGATCGGGATTGTTTTGATCGACCGGCAGACCAGGCCCGATGCGGGGCACGAATCTACGGAAAGATCCGCGCAAAGACACACCGTCGCATAAAACGAGCATCGTGGCGATAAATCGATATAACAACGGCATTAAATCAATAAAGCGAGAGCTATTATAAACCGTATCTACGATCCAACGATAATCGGATAATAATTTAGCGCGAGCGCGTGATTATCCTATACTTGGTAGTATCGCAGCTTCATTTAAACCTCACGGTAAATATATTCAGCGTGAATGCGCTGCCAGGCTTCACGTTAATCCTACGATTAATTGCGCATAATACAAGTTTCGATAGAGCCCCTGAGAGTTAGTTGTGTGTGAAAGATTTCGCGAGTTTCCAGAGTTTCTCGTTCTTAATTGCATCTTTTTGCGAAAGAGTGAATTTCTTTTCCGATTGCGACTGCGAATTTCAATTGACAAAAATTACGCGAATTTTTAAAAAGTGCACGCGAAAGGTTTTTTATATTCACACACAGACAAACAAATCGTTTTAAATCGTGCAATTATTACAACGTAAACTGCTTCAATTAAACTTGCATGTTTTAATCACGTGTGTTTTTGTGAAAGTATAAACGTTTGATGTGTGTGTGTGTGAGTAATAATTCGTAGAATAAAAAAATTGCATAAGCTTTAAAATCGTTTGTGCGCTTTATAAATTTACTGCGCGAATTTGACATTTGAGTTTATCGTAATTTATTATATAACCGTGAATCCACGTAAAATTATGACAAATTTGTAAGCGCAGTAATTGCAGCTGCGTTTGTCAGATGTCATTTTTTAACATATCAATCATATCGCCTGCATTTTTTACGCTTTCACGTTTTCCACTTTTCATCGAAATGCATAACTCCAATATTCAAACGATGAATATGAATCCCACGATGTACGTGCGCTGCAAACGCGAGGCAATATTTATTACATCGACATGCTGCCATAAACAAAAAGATAAAAGAGAGATATCAATTCTATCAATTTCAAAATATATGTATAATTGATCACTTTAATTCCTTTGACGATCTTTCGAGTGAGAAAATTACAGAGAGTCCGTTTCAGCCGCTCTCATCGCTCTCACCTGATTTCCGGAAGCTGCGCGCTCATAAGCGTCTTAAGCGGCACTCTTCGAAGACAGTCGGCGATGTCCTCCTCGCCTTCGGTCGCGCATCCCAGCTGTTCGCCGATCTTCGTCCGGAGATCGTTCGGATCGTGCACCGAAGCCCAGGGACTTAGTGCCGAGCCGCTGGATAATACTACACGGTGAAATAATCCTGTCGAGAAGAACAGACGGTTGATGCGATCAGGAACGATCCGGCAACGACAACAACACATGCACGTAAGATCCCTTTGCGACGCTAAGCTCTTGTACGTATATATATATATATATATATATATCTCAAATATGCGCAGCAAATACGGTAGGATATCATCAGCTTCCGGTCGATCGAGCGGAAGCGATGAGCCCGACGGGAGTTATCCCAAAACGGTTATTATCCTCGCATGGATAATTAGAGGCGGACACGTAAATATGATCGCGCTCCGTCCTCCCTCTGTGCTCGATATTGTTTTTCATGCGGGGACGCTGAAAATCAACGTGCGCGCACATACGATTGCCAAACGATTAAAAACTCTTATACCGCGGTTAAACAAGTCGTTATGACGACTATGAATAATTTTTCGATATCCGATCGACTGTGAACGGAACATTTCCTAGACAGATATATAATTAACATCGAACAAGCACCGATGCAAACGAGCACCGACGCAACGAGCACCGATGTGATCGGCTTGCAACGAGTAAACCAGGGAAAATCACGCCGTCCGTGGAAAATTCATGCTAATTGAAAAGGACACTCTACGAAACTTAATTAATCAGCTCGCTTTTAATGAACTGCAATTTTATGACGTAACGCGGTAAAATGTGTTCTAGCGGCTATATCGCGATATGCTCGGCGATATAAGCGCATCGCGTATTCCGGTTTCGAGCGAGAAAATCATATTCGCCGGCACAAACATTTATGCTGACGCTAAAGTCGTTTATCGAACGTCACTGGTTTCTTTATGATAATCGCTGTTTCGAATGCAAACATCGCGCGCAACGCCCGTTCTCTCGTCCCGTGGCGATGAGAAATATTACGCAATATGTGTCCAACATAAACATTCGTGTATCATTGATGCCCGGTACAAATATTTGTATTTTATGACTTTACGTACTCGGGAGTCGAGCGCGCGCGCGCGCGGGTTCTGCACGCATGTTTAATTTCTCGAAAGTAATATTCGCTCGCGCGGCGTTTGTTGTTGCGATATAAATCGCAATCTGAGCAACATTAAACGCGCTGGTCGTGAAATTTTTCAGCCGACGGCGTTTTATTATTCACATTTTTTTTTTTGTTAAAAACAGAAAAAATGTTCAATCAAACAAACGAGGCTCATAAAACTGCAACTAACATTTTTTTGTGTCAGTGTTTTCTACGCGAACAGATCGAATTCAATAATAGATCCGGCAATTCTAAAATAGCTCGCGTCGTATAGCTATACCCGGACGTATAATATTCTTTCTCTTTCTGTTTATATTGCAAATATACCATGTGAACATATTACCATATCGAAATATTATTATTGCTCCGTTGGTATTCATAGCGAGACGCTCGTTTGCCAACTACTTAGGAAACATCACCTCATTATATTAAGTCGGTTCGCCGCGACCGACCGACAGCGGCACTATTCCAAAACAGCGAATCGCGGATGCGTTTAACGCGAAGATTCTGCTGCCAACGAGCCGTAAAACCGGGAAAGAAGTTGCGAAAGAAGCACGCGGAAGAGCGAGTACTCGTCGTAGTGTCATATGGCCGTAGTTTCATTTCCGGCGACGGTGCACTCGGCGTGTATGCGGTGACCCGAGGCTGCTCCTTCTGGCTGCTTTATCGCTATTATTATTAAGAGGTGCCGCCTGATGCGCGCCCAACCTCTCTCTGGAGCATTGCCAATGGCGCGCGATATGTTGCGCGATACGTCGCGCGTCGCACGTACATATATCGTGAGCGCGAGTCCGGGAAGGGAAATTTAAATATTATTACTACACTTTTTTAAATATTATTATTACACTTGTTCGCGGAAAATCCTGTGTGGTTAGTCTTAAATCAATTTCATTTTTAAACTAGTTATGTTTTCTTCAACAATTTTGAAAAAAATCGGATTTTAATTTGTTTGTCATGTATTTTTATATTTCTTTGTGTTTTCGCTCTTCTATTCAATTATTTCTTTCTACATCTAATTTGTTTCTTTCTTGAGAGCGAGAGCGAAGATTCGATTTGCAATAAACGTCACCTTTTTTAACAATCTTTGCGTTCGTCAGTTCTTTTGAAAACTTCCGAAATTTTACTTTAAAGTGTTCCAGCTTACCAAACTGTCAATTATGTACGCACATTCTGTACGGAGATAAGAAATTTTTTAATTTGATGAGAAATTGAATATAGAGCGAAATTACATTTAAGAGAATGTCACGTCATACATATAGAGATTTAATATAATCGGTAATCATCATCATCAATATAGTACTAAAATTATCTCTATAATTCGCTGACGAAGTGTTTGCGTTTTCTCGCTGATCATTCTGTGTAACTGATAGCGAGTGATGGTCGACCAATTACCCCGATCATGGCCATCCTCGTACCAGATACGACGCGGAACGTCCATTTCGCTCGTTCGATGTCGATCACGCTTGTATCGTGCTGTTGATGATAGACATCGGATGCGTTCCTTCCTTTATTTCTGTCGGGCACGTTCATGCGAGAATCATGGCAACGAAGGACTCGATTTATTCGCTCCGATAGCATCGCGTTACCTCCCCTCCCGTTTCCTCCTTCGTGTCACAGATTGACTATTGCACGATTCGATACGTGTACTGATATCCGCGACGGAGACTTCCATTGATCGTGTGTAGCTTTCTACTATATCCGCGCAATTTATTAGCGTTGTTAGATTTAAAAAAGAAAGAAAAGAAAAACAAAAATAAAATTATTTATATGCTATATTAAATTTCTCGAAGACGCGCTTTTTCTCTCTTCAGCGCGTTTTTTTATTTTTTGACAGATACTTATTCGCGACGTCAGGTGAACCAAATTGCGTTCACAGCGGCTGCCAAAATAAGCGACTCGCCGTTACGCTTTCTTTCCTCACCTCGCAATTACTCCATTTTTCACTAGCGATCCGGTGCGACTATTACAGCTTGTACTTTGAAAACGCGTATTAATAAATGTTGCAGGAAGAAATACGGATCGCCATTTCTACAAGTGTCGAGACACAGTCAGGCGACCACCGCGTGCCTTCCATCCCAGAGACGACATTAGTGTCGCCAGGGTTAACGCCCTTAAACTGTCACGTTAAACCGCGATATTTCACCCGGTACTCTGCCTTTCCTCCCTGCTCCCCCTCCCTCCACCCAACCTCTCTGTGCACTCGCTCCCGTCGTTTCGCAACTAGCCTCGTTCCGCCGGCCAGCTACCATAATTTCTCCACAATGTCATGTCCATGATACGTGGATGTCGCGTCGTGTCGATGAAATTTCGGCGACGGCATCGAGGGAGAACCACCCAACTAGCCCTCTACTCGGCAGCTATTTGGTCTCCTTAACGATCTCATCAACCAATAGCGTGATTATCGACTACGTCTCGCAGCAATTCGACCCTGCGTTTGGCTAAAAACGACGAGATCGGTAAATTGACGATGTCCTCGTTGAAAAGAATAACGGTTTCTTCTTTGCGGATAGGACGCGATAAAGAGAAATAAAAGAAAAGTAAAAAGATGGTGCGCGCGCGTGAAGGCGAGACAGGACCGCGGAAATTGTATACTTTTCGTTAGCGAAGCGGCGAAAGATTAAAGGCAAACAAGAAACAGCGGCGCGTGACGGCGGTAATCAGGCCGGCTTACGGTTTACGGGGATGGATTTTCCCAGGTCGCGAGCGCTGGGCATCGAGTGGTTGGCTGGTTGGCTAGCTGGGGCTGATCGTCGTTCAGGAACGCGGTATACCACACCGGTGACCAATCGAGACCTCTCAATGGCCTGTAATGTGCACGTCCGGGATCGTCCGTGCTATACGTACGACTTTAACTCGGATTTTTCTCGGATTTCGCCCATCGAGCCGAATTCTCGTCGGGATTTGGAAAAATTCCGCGCCGATTGTGAAGAAGGGAGAGTTAAATCCAGTTAGATAAATTTGACGAGTCCGCCGCGCAGTATCAAAGGTATCACGGATATGTTCCGCTCATTTTTATGAAAAAAAAAAAAAAAAAAAAACAAAAATGAATCCGCTCGGCTCGTACGAGCGTTTCTCGATTGCGGACGAGAGATAGAGTTTTGTGCAAGATATATTCCGCTCCAGAATTTGAAGATACGAATAATTTTTTTTTCGAGAGTTTGATTTTCCAGTGTTCGTTAAATGTAACACAAGATAACAAATTAAAAAAAAAATGATGTATTTGGTCGAAAGTTTTTTTTCGAAAATTTCGTCGAGAGACTGAAATAAATTGACGTTTTATCATAATACGTCGAGTGATAATAATCTTGCGAATAATTATCGCTGACATCATCTTTTAGAAAAACATCTTTTAAAAAAAACAGTATTTATCTTTGGGAGACGGAGGATTTATACTTATAAAACGTCGTGAAATTTTGTCATAAAAACATTTTTCTTTTCGAGAGGAAAGAAATATGAAAATATTTAATTTTCCTAGAGAAAGCAAAGCATCTCCCGGTTGCACCGGTTGTGCAAGTGCGGCATGAATTTTCATCCAATCCACACAAAGAGAATTTTACTTAGATGACGCGCAAATTATACTTTGAAAGGAAGCGACGCAATATGGCAGTTCTAATTTATTTGCTTCGTTCTTTACGCCTTTACGAGCAGCGGCCTGTGAAACGGAATGTCCGTCTACTTACTTCACGACCTTCCTTTAAGATCGTCGTCGTATCTTTATCGTGCATATTTTCTCTCTCTCTATCTCTCTCCCTCTTTCTCTCTTTCCCCTGTGATAGCCGACATTCCGCATGTAAATTACTTCGCGCGTCTCGTGAAAATTCTATGAACACGTACAGACCTTCGGGAACGTAATACTGATTGAATTAAGTTTAAACATGTAAGCATTGAGGACTCTTGTCGTGCTCGGAAACAGATTGCGCAATATTTTAGCCATCGATCAATTCTGCTTTTTATTAAACTTTTTGTATTTGTAATTTAAAATTCATCGTATCAAATCGTATAAAAAGTGATCA